ATAATTAAGAGTGCATCTGTTGCCAGGGCACAGTGGTTGCAGCCACTTTGTTGATGAACTAATATCCAGCTTCTGTAAAGCATAATGTCTTATAGGCAGCTTTCACCACTTATTCATCGAGAACTAACAAGCTGTATTTTCAGTTAGGCTGGCCATATCCAACTCAATTTACTCTAGCGGTTGCCTCAATTAGAGCATTACTGGCCATAATCCGTCTACATGGGCAACATAAATCATTCATCTCCAAGTTATAGGTCAGGGCCCAAAATCTTAAGTACTCTCTAATAAACAAAGAAATCCCAGAGCACAGGATACCAGTTCAGGGACAAAAAAGGTATATAAAAAAAATAGGCTGTGCAGCTTAAACATTTGTCAGACTGCCAGATGTGAAGGCAACCACTGTTAGGTCATGGGAGGAATAGGGCTGTCCTCACGCAGAAAGGCACAGTTATTTGAAGCAAGGCAATTCCCCTTGCAGCATATTCTGGTGAATCTGATAAGCAGAGTGGAGATTATGATTCTCCCTGTGTCTGACTCTTTTGCGAGTAGATGCTTACCCAAATGATTCCCACAGGCAATTTTGGTGACACAAACTTGCATTTCCCAATAGATCGTATGCTTTTTAAAAGGTATGAACACCTGTACAACCCTGGTATCCTGATTTTAGAATCTTCACCTCTTCCTAGTCATTAGTTGGTTCCATTCACCAAAAGAAATTGGAACAGGCCTTCCACTGTAGACCTTTTCAGTGAAGCATTACAAGAGTTGCACACTGGTGGTCATTATCACTATAGGTAGATATCCTAGCCCCCTAAGATGTTTGTCTGTCAAAAGCCCACCATACACAGATAGAAATGACCACATGATAAAACTGATGTCAGCATTATTGGGCAATACTCTTTGCAGGTACAAAGTGCAAATAGTTGTGCTGACAGACCACGAAAGGCTAGTGCCACCAGTGATTAGAAACTTGTAGCTTTTAGGTCCCCTATTCTATCTTTGCTGAAAAAGTACAGATGATAAAGATACACTAGCATTTATGACTACCGCATCCTAGAACATATTGGAAGAATCTCTCACAGAAGAGTGGATATGTGTGAAGGGTGAAAACCTCTCTGTGGGGACTGATCATTACTTGGTATTTGATCAGATTCCTCTATGAGTGGTCACCTTATAGCTGGCTTCATGCCAATAGCTCCTACCTAATTTGTTTGGGAATTTATTGGAATATTAATTCATCTAGCAAAATGACTGCCTCCATTGTGGGTATGGTCATCAGGTGCACACTAAACTGGGAAAATGAAGGGAAAGTTATAAAAAGGAACCTTTCTATATAGCTATTGTGTGAACATGCAAAAAGAAAAATTAAAAAACTAAACACAAAAGCAAAAAACCCCAGGAAAGTATCGCAGTGAAGGCCACGCAAATCATTTTCAATCCAGTAAATCTACTACATTCTAATTATCACTCATTATACATTCTGTGAACACTCAGGCAGCAATATAAGATAGCCTGCTTAATCTTTAATCAAAATCTATTCATATTCAAAATTCCATCATATGTAGGCTACAATGAATAAGTTAAATCAGTAGTTTAAATGTTGTACAAAAGGGTTGTACGTCTATTGCCAGCCTCTCCCACTGAAAGCACCCAATCATGAAACATCCTTCTAAATCTTCTTCTGTCTCTAATAAATGCCCATTACTGTCAGCATAACCAACGGGGACTTTACATTTGCCACTGTTTACCTGGTTTGTTGTTCAACTTCTGGTTCATGGCCACAAAAAACAAAAAAAAACTCAAAGTACATATAACAGTTGATTTCATGATCTTCTGATGAGAATTCTACTCCACTGTTCAAGAAAGTTCCAGTATCATTGGGAATGAACACTCTTGTTCAATAACAATGCATTTTCTTAGTGCTGTTCAGGTTTTTGGATATTCTTATGATGCCTAAATCAGACCCATAAGGCATTATAATTTAAAAAGGCAAAAAAACAGAAACATATAAGTTACAATTTTTTACATTTAATATGTTTAGGAATATAAACCTGGCTGAATTGTTTGCAAGCAAAAGGTTCATGCTTCAAACACAGCATCTCCTATTATGTTATTGCTCCAACTACTTCCTAAACACTCACCGACAGCTAGAACAGCCGGCTTGTACTGTATTATTCCACAACCCAGTGACTTCTAGTAGAAGAAAAACTGATATTTTTAAAGATCCAGATCTGCTGCTTGAGGCAGCCAGCCAGGTCTGTTACATGAGGCAATTCTCCACTACTTGCAATAGCTGCCGGGCTGCTGTGCTCACTCTTTCTGCCTAATACATACCTATAAGCACTTTGAACTGTTGAGTAACGATTTGAATCCAGTATTAAATATATGATATTGGGGGGTAGGGAGGTTTTAAAATTATTCATCAACTTTACTTCAAAATCAAAAGAGAACTAGGATCTCTGTTGTGTAAACATGAATTCATACAGTAAATACACTATATAAAAGATTTTCTTGTGTTGGCTTCAGCCATTATCCAGTGATTCCCACTTGCAGCATTTGGGTACATCCTGCAATGGTTTCCCAAACATGCCAGCCCTTGTGCTTAGTACTGCTACAACTACGTGCCTCTATACACATGCAAAAGAACGTAAATATTTATCTTCCATAATGCATTCAGAAAATAAAACATATACCGGCCCTGTTGCTTAGTCTTCAGGGAAGTAAACTCTTTTTTGGGATGAACTAATGTACACGACTATGTGGCCTGTTATTCAAGAAGGGTTAGAGACACCACTTACATATTTAACACCATGTGTCTTATACACAAAAGTGTCTAAAGGAAGGAGCAGAGTTTTTCCTTTACAGTGTACTATGGGAAAATGAAAGCAAGAGTCTACTTAGTTGCTAATTGCAGCAAGGATTGCTTTTCCTTCAGAATCAAGCCATAGTGATGTCACTAACTTGTAGTGGTCGTTTTTATGCTGAATATCATTTTAGCCCAGTAAACAGCTGCGTGTGTGTGTATTCAGGAGACAGGCCCATTTTAATAGATAGCAAGCATACCATAATATGAAACAAAAAGGCCTCAAATGGAAATAAAAGCACAAAATAGAACCTAAAAACTCAAAAGATTATCTCACATGTGCAAAAAAACAGTGATGAAAAAAATAAGAGTCCAAAATCCAGTGTACCCATCGCACTCCTGACTGAATAATACCCTTAGAGTCGGGTAGGTGACATTCTGTTTGCCTGAAGAAGGAACCGCTGTTGTTCCAAAATGTCGCTATATGATGTGATAGCGATCGAGTCAATAAACAGTTTTTGACTTGAAATTCTATTGGAGTGCGAGTGACTTTATACATACACTTATCTTGACAAAAATAAGAGGAGGCAAAGCACAATGTAAAAGAAGTCATGAATAAAGTTTCTGATATTTGGGGTTTTTATGGCACCTGTGGTTTATAAACAGCTTTATCCCTTCAGCTGCCAAATATGGGTATGCAGTACACTGCAAAAACCAAATGAACGCTGCAGAACCCCATGGCAGTGAGGGGATGAGTAATGATTAGCTTAAAACATAGTTCACAGTTTTTATAGCATCTGTGTGGATTGCAAAACTAGATTCTAAATCATCTGAGACATTGTATAATTTGTCTATTTCTTCTGTATATGATTGTATCTCTATTGAAAATGAAAAATATATATTTATATAGATATTTACACTAAAAACTCGTATGGCTGATTTATGAGATCTTGACGGAAACAAATAATACAAAATTATACAATTAGCCCTAAATTAAAACTTGTTTTTTTATATCTCAAATGAACTTTGCACAAGTAAATCTCTATAACTTTTCTAAACTAATAAAAATAATCTTTAAATTAATGCATCCAATTATATCCAGTAACTGAAATAGTGCTAAAGCACTGGGTGGAACTGCTTCCTGTAGGGATTTTAGTGCCTTATTGCCATACAAAGGTTACAGCAAGATCGTATCCAGGATTACAGTCCCATCCTGCCAAAGAGGATTTTGGTAAAAAAAGTGCTGCCTTTATGAATGATTAGCTCAGGCTTGGAAATGGCTGTGTGTGCACATTGAGAGTTGGAGTATCCAGTATTCTAGCTGCATTTGTTTGATCGCCTCAATGCAATGTAGGTTGATCTAGAAAGCCCTCAGTGATACTTAGAGGGGTTCCAGATAGACACATTGGGGGAATTTATCAAAGCCGGAACAGACAGAATCTGGAGCAGTGGTGCATGGTAACCAATCAATGTCTCTCTTCAGTTTGTTCAGTTAAGATTTGAAAATGAAACAGAGAAGCTTATTGGTTACCATGCACAGCTGCTCCAAATTCCCCTCAGTGTCTTTATACAGCAAGAAGTTGCATTGAACATTGGCTACAAAGCAGCAATGCCGCTTGCCTAGATACTGCTACTAGATAAGAGGCTGAGCAGGTTCAGGTGGAACTAAGGCACTCAGACTTCTAGTAGTAACAGCTGTACGTGAACAGAAATTCTACAAATCATTGGCTTATTATGGTCACCACTATGTAGCGGTATATAGGCTCTCCTCTGATATTTTGGACAGTGGCAGATAAGAGATTTGCATACACCTGGCTGATAAATTCAAATGGGTGTGCGTGTAGTCCATTACCAAGCTGTTCTGTAGTGACTTGTCTGAATACTTACTTCCCCCTTCCCCTGGGCAGTGAGGGAGATCAGCCACCATTACACTTTCTTCTCTGCTAGCTTGGACTTTAAATAGATGTATAACTATGCATTTTGTAAACTTATGTTGAACAGTATGTGCAAATGCTAATGTCATGTTGTGTTTTGTGTTTTGTGTTTTTCTGCCAGCGATAATTATACTTTAGGTTAAAAGAACATATTTTTCTTCTGTATTAACACACACCTACAAACTACAAATTTTAGAACAAATGTACTGTGCTACATTCATTGGGGCTCTGATGTGGATCCTTGTACCAGAAGATGCAGCAGATGCATTATCCATGCCGCTGTGATGGGTGACTATCGACCAATGCTTCTCAAGCCTTGTGCATCTTCTATGTACTTCTGGTTATCTGTGACAGGTAGCAAACAGAAGTGTAAGCATGATGATGATCTCTATAATGCAGAAGTCAGGATTAAAACCAGCAGTACATTTACATTGTGATAGTTAGTGCATTTGGTATTTCTTTTAAGTACCTTAACCATAGTTTAAAATCACTTTTTAGCAGGTGAGAACAGGTTTGCAAACAAAGTGTTTGTGGTGGTGGTGAACTGAATTGTGGCCAATTGGTATCTTGTGTCTGCAACACAAATTTAATTTTTGTTTGAAAGTTGTTTAAATATTTTTGCCTTCAAAGAGTCCATCCAGATTGAAATAGGTTGGATGCGCAAAATGTACAAAACGCGATTGTACAGAACTGTGCACAATATGGGATGATGATCTAAGAATCCAACAGGCAGCAAATCAATCATCTACTTATAGTGAGGACAGCATCAAATGAATGTTCTAAAACCACTAGCAGAGGATGACCTGTGTGTTGTTTAGGAAGCAATCACACCATTGGAAAATCCCCAC